AGGCAGGAGAATCTCTGTGAAGTCAAGGCCAGTATGGGCTATACAGTCAGTTCCAATCCAGCCAAACTATATACAAGAGGCTATGTCTCAAAAAAAAAAAAAAAAAAAGATTTTTAAAAATATAAAATAAAACAAAAATTCCACTAAACATAAGGGCATAATAGATTGCATTTTCTGTTCATGAAGTAAAATATGTAAGTAAGGAGTAAGGCTTCTTCACTATAAAGGGGAAACAAAATGAAGTCGTTTGGATTTAACATTTCATTGCTGTGAAATGGTTCAGGCAATAGGTTCCAAAAGCTCAAGACAAGGTGTCAACATCTATCTGTGAAACAGGCAATCAGAAAGTCTGGCATACTGAGCAATTTGCTGAGAGTTGTATCTTAAAGGTATGTGGTAATTTCACCAGAGGTAGCAGCTAGCAGATTTTGTTTTTATTAATCTCTAGAGAGTCTCATTAAGAGAGCTTTCTCCTATGGCATTTATTGTTTACTCTGACTTAAATTTAACTTTTCCTTAGGCGCAAAATGCTGTCTCAGATCGTAAAATAAACTGAATCTCTTTAAATCTAGTCCTTGAAAAATGAACCAATTTCTATTTAACCTTCAAACCTCTGGCAGACCCTTCTTGTTAGTACCCAAAATGTGTCAAATCAAAGTACCAGTAGTCTATGTGATGGAATAAAAGCTTTATCAGAAAGTCAGATCTAATGTTTCAATACTGGTAGAGAGTTACTTATGTGTCATTTTCCCAGTCTCTAACAGTTCATGCAGTTTATACCTATGGCAGCTTTACTTGCTTCCTTTTATTTTTTAATCTACATCTAACTACTTTGGAACACAATCCAAATAAAGAAATTCAGAATCGCTGCATTGTCATGTCAGCTACTGTAATGAAAGTTGCTGAAGCCTGTCCAGCTCTCCTTTCACTAGGCGGAGGCACCCATCTTCTAGCTGTCATGAATAGTTTATGTTCAGTGTTCACAACTGCATCCTCTTCAGAACATTCTCTTGGCCACAAGAGCCTCCTCGCCACAGATGTGTAGAGAAGCTTATAGCTTCCAGTGTGTTAGACAGGGATAGGAAAGCCAGCTTTTTGCCTCCATTTTTACAACTTAGAAAACACTGCATGGTACCAGTAACTAAAACTTCCCCCATTATAATTGCCATCTATCTTGCTTTAGGGCCATCTTTCACTTATCTAAAATGTCTGCTAATTTCATTTTTATTTTCCTATAATCCCTTTACTGTATTACTGCCAAAATACTGGAATGTAAATCTGAGCATATCCTCACCTCCCCAACACATATACCCACTTGAACTCCTTATATAATCATCCCTGTTTCCTGTATTGCAAAGGCTATAAACTCAAGACAGGTTCACACATGCGCTTGATTTTTCTCCCGAGAAAATTAGATCATGAAGCAAATCAAAGCCTTGAAATACATGCATTACAGAAGGACAGTGTTTATCTACCTTGAGAGTCATAGTTAACCGATACACATCACTATAACTCCACTGGGGATAGAAAAAATGGGAAAATGAAGTAAACTCAGAGAAAAAAGTTACAAAACCACTTCCTTTTCTAAGGTAGAGATAGTTATAGCAACTTAGGAGCTAGTGTGTCCCATGGGTGTTGTGGGCGAGAATCTCTTCTATATTTGGCCAGGGAGATCTTGATATATTCATCACAGGCTGCAATGACAAATGTTTCCCAGACTGAGTATATTCTGAAAGCTATAACCCTAAATACAACAGTAATGAAAGTTAATTCTGCAGTAGTGATAGCTACATTAAAGAAAAATTTGTGCATATTTGATATTTAAGTATCTGAGTTTTGAAGATTTGATTTATTTGGTGGAACAGGCTGATTGTGCTTCCAGTTTATAATGTATAATTATCTTAATCTGTTCTGTGCTGCCATAACAGAATCCCCAAACTGGGTAATGCATAGCAAGCAGAGATTTATTTTTTATGCTTCTAGAGGATGGGACCAAGGTCTGGAAGGATTTTCATGCTGCATCATCCTATGGGGAAGACAGAGGGGAAAGAGCACACTTAAAACCACGACATTGAACCGTGAAAGTCATTGAATAACTCAGATTTAGGAGATTTATCATTATCTCCAAAAGTGTCAGAAGACATTAAAACAAACAGTAATTTTATGAGCAATTTATAACCTGCATAAGAATTTAAATTGTAAATCCCCCCTTGTACTCAATTGACTATAACAAATTTACATTAATAAATTGAGTAAAATTTGAATATGGAACTAAAAATTAAGATCAAAGCTTCTCAACCAGATGCAGTAATATACACCTATAATTCTAGCTTAGGAAGGCAGGGCAAGAAGATTACAAGTTCAGTGCCAGCAGGGGTAACTTTTTTTAGACCTTGTCTAAAAAAACAAAAAAGGACTGAAGATGGAGCTCAGTGGCACGTTGCTCACATAGCACGCACAGGCCCCGAGGTTCCATCACCAGTACCATGGTTGGGAAAAGGACTTGTCAATTTAGAACCTTAAATCATTAACAATTCAAATATTTTTAATGACTAAAATAGCCCCTGGAAATTTTCACCCATGAAAGCATTAGGATCTTACATTAACAAACAATGCCAAATTCAGATATTACAAAATTGGAATACATAGCGAAACTAGGTTTCACTCCTGCATACATAGCAAAAATTTCCTCTCCTTGATGGTGAGTTTTCTAGTTACCCATAGTACACACACACACACACACACACACACACACACACACATTACAAGCCTGGCCCTTTTAACATCATTTGCAATTTAAACTCATGCAACATAAGTTTATTAGAACAGTAACTCTGAACCAAGTTATTTACCCCCAAGGCCTAGAAACATTTTTGGTCTAAAGAACGATGCTTTTGGCTTCTAATAGGAGGAGGTCAAGGATACAGATAAACATCCTGCGATGCATTGATCAGCCTCCCTATGCATAAGTGACAAGGAATTCTCCAACCTAAAATATCAGTGGTGCTGAGTCTGAGGAACTCTGACCTAGAAGAACACCTAAAATCCTCTAGCATGGCACAAAAGCTTTATGATGGTCTGTTTGTGCAAATCGTTAGAGGACTCATCCCCTGGCACTGCACGGGTCACAACAATCTTCTTTCTTCACTGCTTACTATATAAGCCTACTTTGTACCTCATCTCCTAACTTTTCATGAAGTTGTTATTTCCTTTAAAATCTTTGTTACTTTCTCTAACATTAATCCTCCCTGGGGACTCCAAAGGAAGGAAAAGGAGACTTGGCAGAAAATCGGTGATGAGAGGGAAGTGAGGGGAACGGATACAGTCAAAGTAGGTTATATGCATAGAAACTCTTTACTATGCTCAATTTCTATGCATTCAAAATTGTAAGAGAAGAAGAACCCTTCCTCCTGGAGGTTAGAGATACTATAATTTGTTTTCTTCTAAGTATACTATAAATATTTCATAATTATGTTTTCAGTCCATCTGGAATTCATGTGGTGGGAATCAAATGTAATTTCACTGCCATATGGATAGCACACAGCTTTAATACCATTTAGTGAACAGTTAATGTCTTTCCATTAATGGGTACTATCGATGTTGCCATATATTGAATTTTTATATAAACACTTACCTCTTTTCAGATTATTTCCTATTTACATTATTAAGACACACTTTCATTAGAAATCTATATATTGGGGCTGGGGGTTTAGCTCAGCGGCATAAGCACCTGCCTTGAAAGCAGGCAGTTGTGAGTTCGATCCCCAATACCGATTAAAAAAAAAAAAAAAAAAAAGAAATCTATGTGCTATCATGACCCCTTCCTTATTTTTCCTCACAATTTACTCTTATGTATTACTTTTACAATCAGCCTTCTTGGAATTGTAGTTGAAATTATGCTGAGTTTATAAATTAGGAAAAGGTATGATTTTCCTATTTGTAAAAATTATATCTCTGTATAGAAGTTTAACAGTTACTTTATAAAGACAGGTAGATTTATTCCTGGGTACTACATGTTGTTTGCTTATTGTTTCCTTTTTTTATATCTTCAGTAACTTTTAATTAGTTTGGATATGATACATGGCAAACTTGTTGAGCTTCTTTAATATCTCTAAATATCCCTGAAATGTTTTATGAATCATGTCACCTATAATAGTTTATCTCTCTGCAATATTTACTTTGCTTGCTTTGTCCCGGTGCACTGACTCTGATCTCTTGTATAATGTTAAAGGTGGATGTTTTCACCTTGCTTTAAAAGGGATCCCTCTAATGTTTTGCATTTTCCTTTTTATTTTGTAGAATTGTATCAAATACTTTTTATTAGATTGAAGGGGTTAATATCCCCATCCAGAATATACTGCTATGGCATACTGCTTGTTTTGAGCTGATAGCACTTGAAAAATAGCAGATGCAGAAGTGACCCTTTCTGAACATGCTCTTTCTACCTGAAAAAGGTCATAAAATTTCCCTTTTGATTCAGAGAGATGCCTTCCAGTATCAGAAAAAAGTAGCGTTTGTATCATGAACACTAGGAGTTGCTGCTGAAATGAGTCTATACAAGTCGACCTATTAAAATAATCCTTGTTATTGCATTAGCATCAAGCATATATTTCCTTATCATTTTTCTACAATTTGTTACCCTTAGAAGTTTAAACATCTTTTCCTTTATATTTCTCTAAACCTGTACTATTCTCTGAATTTATAAATTGTTATGGAGGCTTTTCTGGTTTTATTTTTCCTATGAAGTGTTTTATTTACACATGAAATATTAAATAAATGTTATGTGTTTTATGTTATTAAACTATAACAATAATTCTCAAACCTAGCCCCAGAACTGAAGAGACTAAAAGATTTTTAACTATAAGCTTCAAGGAAGTTTTCTTTTAACTAGGTTTTTCCAAGTTTTTAACATCTCATATGGATAATGCTTGGCCATTCACTGCACAAAGCAGGTATTTTTGCTTGTTTTCTGTTGCTATAACAGAACACTCAAGGCAGGGTAATTTATAAAGAAAAGTTTATTGGGACTTATGATTCTGATGGCTGGGAAATCCAACAGCATGGCCCTGGCATCTTCCCAGGTTCTGGTGAGGACCTCATCTTGTATTGGCTCATGACAGAAAGCAGGAAAGTGGACATATGTGGAAAAAAATTAGCCAAATTTCTACTATCGATAACCTTATTCTTATAAGAAAAATCCATTAATAATTCATGAAAGCTTTGCCCCATCTTCCATATACTCAGATCATATCATCTGACACTCCCAAGCTTCAACATGAGTTTTGGTAGAAACTGACTATACCCAGATGATTGTATCAGTTTATCCTTTAAATCTGCTCAATCTTCTCTTATATTTGGAGATGCAGCTCCTAGAAAGTCTTCCTCTATCTCTAGCTTTGCCCCCCCCCCGCTTTACTCCCAGTAATGCTAAGCACCTTTCCAGAAAATCCATTTAGCCTAAGTCAGCTTTGATTGAGATTCTATTTAATTTTCAGAGATTATCTTGTTTATAGAAAAACCTTAGGGTCTTAAAAACCACCAAACCACTTCAATAATTTTGCCTGTGGTTTGCAAAAAATAAAAGGGGCTCAGCTAGGAAGTGTCAATACAGTATTGCCATGGACAAACTAGGAGTCTTTGCAGAAAGTACGAATATGCCTCAATATTTCATGTGCTTCGAGCTCTAGCTAACTCTTCAAACAATGAATGAACTAGTTCTGCATAAAAATACCATTGCAAATGTATTCCAACGTGGCCAAGTTGTTGAGGCAACTAGAAAAGGATTTAAGTTTGCAACCTCACACATGAAAGAAACTACTTCCACTAAGGAAAAGATCTTTTGGTGTGTTACCAACTGTTATGGCATGTATCTAGATGTTCTCCAAAGCCTCATGTACTCATAGTTGAGTCTTTTCAGATGTGGCTGGATCTAGAGTATGTGATGCTGGGATTGATTCATGATGCAATGCTAGGATTAAAGATGCTGGGAATAAGGGTGTGCAATTACTGTATTAGTCCACTGATTCGTTTGGCACCTGCTCTAAGCTGGGTAGTGTAGATAGAATATAAAAGGAATAGAAAGAAGCTACTATTGCCATTTTGTTACTAGCTTGCTTGCTTTGCTGCCTTCTGCTCCATATGAGCTGTTTCTCTTCTGTGATTCCTGTCTGCAATGCCACCCTGACTTGGAACCAGCCAACTATGGACTGAAACCTCTACAAACTATGAGCTAAATGACCCTTTTCCTCTTTAACTTTCTGTGCCAAGTATTTTGTCTCCACAGTGAAAAAAGTAACTATGAGAGCAACTGTTATGGATAAACAAAGAATCAGCGAAAATTATTTATAAGGCATAGGCCTTATAAAAATGAATGACATGCCGGTGTTCTTTTCTAGTATTTTTTTTCTTTCCTGTGTGAAAATACACAATGTTGAACAGCTGGCTTTTCTTTTTTTTTCATTCTCTTTGTGACAGAGTTTCTAGGGACACTTTATTCTTTGGTCCTCTTTTCTTCTTCCCACTTAAAGGCAAAAATCTCTTTAGACTGCTTCCAAGCCAGGATGAATCAGTATTGTATCTATGAAGAAAATAGCTAGATTCTTGGAGAAGTTTTATTTTCCTTGAAGTCAAAGTACATACATTGCTGGAAGGTTTCCTGTCAGTCAAAAAGCAGTGTTTGACTATTTCTGTGTGTTATATAACTTTCTGAAAATGTCAGAGTGTCTTATGTGGGCTGCAGGAACAGCCACCATCCTTGGTGTAACCAATCCAATTCTTAAATCTGAGAGCCTTTGAGAGTATTTAAAAGCCACGGGTGGCCTGACAGTTAATCAAGTATCTGAAAATATATGTCTAAATTTTCTTTTGTTTTCAATCTTAAAACACATCTGTCTTGTACTCTGCATTTTTTCAGTCTGATATTTCTATTAATATCAGAAACAAGTTACGGGTAATTTAAATGAAAAATGTGCTGCAGAATTTTCTAAAAAAAACAGATTTACAGGTACATTTCAAAATTCCAATTATGCCAACTATGTCTCTTTATAATCTTCAGAGGCAGATTATTAAAAGAGTTCAGAGATCCTCTAAAAGTCACATTATAAACACAATCATATGTTCAACATTTTTCCTTAATCTAGCTTCTTCCAGAAACACTCAGGAACCTACCATTTGTTTTATTTATTATCTGGCTGTTAGAAAAACTGCTTGATGCACAAGTCTTCTGAAAACCGTATAATTGGTTCGCATCTGTGGTCTGTTAGGTTCACTTTCTTGCATTTTCTAGGTCAACAGCTGCAGAATACAGAAATTGTCATTAGTTACACCCAAAGGTAAAGCACAGATAAAGTTCTTGTAAAATAGTCTCTTAGTTGCTTTGGAGAAAGTACTTCAAAACTTTGTCATACCCAAAGGACTTGAAACAGCTTAAGCAGCAGGATGGAAGCTTTGTATTCTTGTTTTTGAAGTAGCACAAAGCCTTCCTAACACTTCAGTTTCTTGAGCATAGTGTGTCTTGTCCCCTATTCTCTCACAACCAAGTACAGTGCTTTTTAACACTGGGGCAATAATAGGCACTGTAATAATGCACAAACCGTATATTGTGAAATACAGCATTACCTAATTAACGGTTAATTTCTTTTTAAAATTTTGTTGGGAAGTTTTAAGGTAAAGTAAAACTAATGATACCGATTATCACTACAATTACAAAACCTTTAGATTTTGAGAAAATAGAAGGACTCAGTGGGCTAGCTTCGGGCCCTATGCAGGGCACCTTCGCTTCCCTTTAACCTTCTATTAACTGCTACCAGCTGGGCAGATATCTGCTCAGTTCTCTGGTTAGCGGGGTTCAGCGTGCCTCCTGCTAGCCTAGTACAGCCGGGCAGTCAACGAGTCTGCTGCCACCCAACCAACTCAGTGAAAGCCGCAGCAGTTTGGCGGCAGGCCACGCCTCTAAAGGGGCGGTGCTGTACCGCAGTCCTACCCTTAAGCGGAGGAGCAAAAAAAAGCGGGCTGGAGTGACGTCACGAAGGTCGCCTGCTCTGATTAGAGGGCCTGTGGAAGCAAGCTGAAGGGCTGGCGGCAGGCGGGGTCTAGTTTCCCTGGTGACTGGTTTCCCGGCGGTCGCTTGGTAACGGGTTGCGGCGGCGTAGGCCGCAGGGCTCTCAAGGCTCCGAGCCACGGAGCCCGCCTCTTGCGGTCCCTGCTGCCATGGCGGCCGCCGCAGCCGTGGTCCCGCCGAGCGGCTTGGAGGATGGTGTGTCTCGGTCTCGCGGCGAGGGGGCCGGGGAGGCGGTGGTGGAGCGCGGGCCCGGCGCGGCCTACCACATGTTCGTAGTGATGGAGGACTTGGTGGAGAAGCTGAAGCTGCTCCGCTACGAGGAGGGACTCCTCCGGAAGAACAACCTGAAGCCCCCGTCCAGGTGGGTGCCCACGTCCCCTGCGCCCAGTGCTGGCCGGGCCCTGGGGAGACGCCGAGCGCGGATTAGCAAACCCTGGCCTCCATCTTCCGTGGCTGGGAAGGCGCTTCGCTGGCAACTCTGCACGGAGTGCCGTGGAGCGCGTGGAGCACGGCTTGGGTCATTTTGTAGAGAAAGTAAACAAGTCTCGAACGGCAGGGCAGACAGTACTGGAAAACAGCCCGCCTACTCTAAAACACGCAAAACACAAACTATGTTGTAAAGATAATAAAAATACCCGTTGCAGAAAACGCAGTAAAACACAAGAAACTGTAGAAAATTAACACCATGCTCCATACTCTCTTCTGTAGGGCTGAATGCAATAATCACTTATATGGGTTTCTGAGGTCCTTGCCCACCCCCACCCCACCAACCCCGGTGCAACGCACCTTCACTGGACATAGTCCCCACCGCGGGCAGCCATGGCACCTGGGACCTCGCTGAGGATCGCCTTGTAGGCACCCTGTGCACTGATTGTGTGAACGACCTCTCTACAGTAACAGCACTCTCAGCAATGGAGAAGTAGAGAAGGCAAATGAGATGACAAAGTTGGAATGGGCTTCTTATAATAGGACAAAGTGGCAGCACTTTGTTGATAGGGGAGAAAAGTTGACAATATTGTAAAGCACGTTGGTTGCCTACTGCGTTAGTGTAGTTGCTGAGGTGATGGACTGCTAGCACTTATTCTTGAAATCACTGTAGCCAGGTCAGTAAGTTTTATTGCTTCCTGTAGATACTAAAGTTTCTTTCACTGTCATAGCTACATTGTTTAATTTATTCTGCCAGAGACAATATTAAGAATCTAGAATACTTTCTTTTAATGTTTACAGGTGGGTTCAGATAATTTTCTTGGCAATTTTGGTCGCATTGCTTTGCTCTGTTCTAATAATTTTAATTGAAAGGTATGTAGGCTTTTTGTGACCTGTACATATTCCATAATAGAAGAAAAGTTACAAGAAGAAGTAGTTCAGCTTGATTGATGATAGAAAAGTTAGAATGAGGATTATTACTTCAAATGAATTGATCATAATATAGACAAGCTCACTTTTTATGTTAATAAAATATATTTTTTCCAAATACATATGTCAAAAACTTTAAGGTTACTGTACTCTTTTCTCAGGGGTTGAAAATGATACTTTTAAGTCTTGGGTTTGTGTGGAGATACCCTACCTAATCTTTTGGTTCTCTTGACTGTGATCATCAGACAGTTTCAGCCTCACTTGGGAATTTAGAAATGAAATTCCTCAGGCCTTTCCCAGGTGTACCTTTTCAGAAATTCGGGGGGGTGGGGCAGCAGTTTGTTTTTTTATCAAACCTTTTGGGTGATTGGGATGTACCATAATGTTTGAGAACTACTGTCTTAGGTCTTCAATATCAGCATCCATTCCTCTGTCCTTGGGAAGTTAGTTGATAGTGAAAAAAATGAATTGTTGGTGGTTGGTGGGTGCCTTGAAAGAGTTGTAAGTATATACCTAGAGAGGGACTTAATGAACTTTTTTTTTTTTTTTTTTTTGGTGTTGGGAATTGAACTTAAGACCTCACGCTTGCCACGCAAGTACTTATGCCACTGAGCTAAAGCCCCAGCATGAATTTTCCTCTTTACAGCATTTTGTTGTCTTCTAGAATGTTTACTCTTATTCTGAAGGAAAAAGTTTGAACAAGAAGTGTAGAGCACTGATTCTTATGGAAGTGGTTTACTAGCAATGTGTATCAAAAACAAAAGTGATAACTATACAAAATAAGATCTTTTATCAAACTGACGAATATTATTGCTAACAAATTTTATTTCTATTACATCTTATTATAAATCACACTGATACTCCAGGCTGTCTCCAGCAGAGCAGGGGGTTTAGCAGAACTTAAGAGTTACTCATCAGACTGGGAATGTGAAAGGGTTCCTTATCCTGACTGTACACTATACCCATGTAGGAAATTTATGAAATCTGCCTGTACTGGGGTTCTACTACCACAAGTAGTAGATTGATGAAATCAATGGATTTCATCCATTGATGAAAGAAGTAGCAGTTTGTCCAGGTAGCATTATTATTATTGTTGTTGTTGTTGGTACCAGAGATTGAACTCACAACCTCATGCTTGCCAGACAGGTACATATAGGTAACATTATTTTTATAAGCTAGTGAGTTATTTTGAATATGCAACCAAGATAAAAGCATCTGTCTAACATAGCAGAAAGGGATGTTAGAAACATTAAAAATGCATACTGAATAATCTTCAAGATCATTTTTAAACTCTGAGATTACTATAATTCCAAGTTATTATTTTCAGAGGGTACTTACTTATGAACTATTACTTACATAAGTGATTTTGGAAAAAGTTTCATATGCTGTATCTTCTAATATGCACTACATTTCCTGAGTATCAGGCTTTTGATTTAATATTTAGCATACAGTAGTAATTGTTCTCCTCCCGTTGATTCAAAACTTTAATGTGAGTGCTGTACATTACTGGAAACTTCAAAGAGTGAATGATCAGTGTCTTTTGGTTTGAAGTCCATGGTTGGAGGATGATTCTTTAGCAATTTTAGACTTGACTCCAGTAGTCACCATAGACTTGTTTGCATTATTTCACATTGCCCCATTCTCCCTTATTTTGAAACAGACACTATTTTGCTCTCCCTACCAACCCTGGAGAACAATTCTACATGTTTTGCACTCTTGCTGCTTGGCTGATTAACAAAGCAGGACGTCCCTTTGAGCAGCCTCAAGAGTATGATGATCCTAATGCAACAATATCTAACATATTATCAGAGCTTCGGTCATTTGTAAGTACAATCACTTTTTTCTACATGTTCTCAACGTATAAATTTTAATATTGGCAATTCAATAACAAATGATAGCCTTTTAGATGACTCTTTGTGTGTCTGTGTATACATGCGTGTGTGTATCTCTGAATTTGTTTGCTGATAAAATGCCACTTCTGAAATACTTTCTATAGGCCAAAGTATTAATACTTTTCTTAATTTTGGTAAGCCTCAGAGGTGAATTTATGGGTAACTAATATGGTAGTTAGTTCTTTTTTTTAAAAGAATGGTAAAGACTGATGTTGATACATTTTGTATTTTGAAAGAGAACTTTGACTTAATAGACCATGATAGCAGTTGTACTTTTCATTCTGACTTTTCCTAGAGAAAAGTAATAAGATGTATTAGTAATTTTTGATAAGTGATTCACTGTGTCCCTCACATAGTTGTTTAAATGATACAAGGGGGCCTGGGGATTTAGCTCAGTGGCATAAGCGCCTGCCTGGTAAGCATGAAGTCGTAAGTTCGATCCCCAGTATAAATAAATAAATAAATGATACAAAGGGTGATCGAATGAACATTACATTTTAAAAATTTACTATAATTAAAGGCATATTGCTATTAATCCCCTCAAAATATTCCCTCTTTCTTCATTCTTGCCACTTTGTGAAATAGTTCTCAAAGTCTTTCATGTCTTTACGAAGTGTGTTAAAAAATACAGCGAATGCTGCTGCCAAGAGCCATCAGCAATCTTGTAAGACCTTTCCTGTGTGTCCTCATCCTCCTGATTCATAGTATCTGGCACTCTGTGACTTCTGGATCTTCCCAAATAAAAGGTAAACATTTTGAATCGGTTCAAGACAGCAGTGCAGCCACAGCAGTGCAACTAAAGATGCTGATGAAAGAGGACCTCAGAAACTGCTTGGGATGAATCTGGTTGAAGTGGAGTTTGGCGGGGAGTAGTTTGAAGGGGACTGCTGACAGTTGTCTTTTACTGAAATAAATTTTTTAATAGTAAGCATTCACTGTAGTTTTTAATCATACCTCATATGTTACTGAGCTAATGGTTTTTATTGATTTTTTTATCCCAACATCTGGTGCTATGATAGAACTAGCTTTTAATTTGGTACTTTTAACAATGAAATGCCTTTATTCTGGTTTTTTAATGTGTCGATGGATTAAAAAGACTTAGATGAATTCCTAAGAATGTAATTAAAGCTATTTTAAGTTATCTGAAAAAGGCATGCATTCATCAGTTCTTTGCTTTAAATATTTTGATGCTTAGAGGATAACTATTTTGTTCGTCTTTTGTTTTTCAGGGGAGAACTGCAGATTTTCCCCCTTCAAAATTAAAGTCAGGTTATGGAGAGCATGTATGCTATGTTCTTGATTGTTTAGCTGAAGAGGCATTAAAATATATTGGTTTCACCTGGAAAAGGTAACTGTTACCTACCCTGACAATAGTGATCACATTTGTATCGCATTTTTCTTGCAGGTACAGAGCTGTTCAATTAAAATGGTAAAAATTGGCTGTTCTAAGCTGAAAATGCCACAGGTGATTAAGAAAAGTTAATAGAGACATCATTGGAATAACTGTCTTCAAAAGCAGTTGTGAAATAATGTTAGATACTCCTTTGCCCCTTCTTTTGCAAAAATCACAACTATTAAAGGTTCAATGAGAGTATGTATCATTATCAAATTTAGGAAAACATT